TTATACTCGTCGAACATATGACCTACTGACGATTGGCCGGTGGTTATTTAAGTTTGAATGGAATCCTAAAATTAATTTTGCATCGGGTTTTTAAAAGCCGTCCTTTAAATGTCCGAACAGAACAGTGCCAAAAACTAAAAAACTAATTGTCTATGCTAATGAAATCCGGTATGGAAAATTATCTTTGAAAACACTCCCAAGAAACATAGCAGTACACACTAACTTGAATATGATTTGAATTTAACATTTTATTGTAACTTTTGCACTCACACTAACAGAGTTCTTAATTTCACTAAAAGTAAAAAAAATAGAATGTGACTGCTATCTAGGTGTTTAAGCTAAAATACTTAGGTTTCTCACTCATGATATAACTAGCTGTGGTAAGATCATTTAGTAGGTCAATATTTGTGTTAGAAGGAATCATTTTCAAAATATTGAGTTTTATTTCACTTTTTTTAGGTATATACGACCGCTAACAAACGACATAGTAATAAAACGGGCTCCAGACCTAACCGATATACGTTTGTGTTTGGCTGAATCTCTGGTTCATGGAAGTTTCTGCGGGCGAAACTCGTTCGAGCCACCTCTAATGAGCTAACATAGGCTGTAATGAGTGTACTAGGAAAAAAATGAAAGGTCTAATAATCGTTGTATCGGTCTCGTATAATATCGTCTAGTAATCGGTTGTACCTACCACGATGACTTCAAACCTTTAAAAGCACTTCTGTTATTCAAATTTTTGTATCATCATCCTGGGATCCAAGGCATTATGGAATATGGTGCTAGCCTTTCTCTTCTTGTTTCGAGTCTGTTGGTTACAAGCACGAAACGAACCATGTATCTATGCCCGGATACGAGCCTAGACAATAACGCGTCCCTAAGATTAGCAGGCAAATACGTAACCCATTAGTTTACCACAGGGACCTTCGCAGAAGCGACAAATTTGTCTTTCCTTCTCCAAGTGCTACCTAGTGGTTGTTACCCAAGGAGTAACACTTATTATCCTAAGCCTTTACCCAAACTTTTTGTACACTTCTTCTTTTCGACAAATCATCAGAGAAGACTCTGATATCCCGACTGCTCATGAGTTGCGTGCAGTTCCGACCTTGAGATGTTTTATAAACGCATTAAGTTAATTTGACCTGCGTAGGAACTCCGCAAAAAGCACAGGCGCGTATCCATATGAGACTAAATCCAAGCTTATTCACAGTAAATGTATTATAGATGACGTTTATTACGTTTTTGATTCCTTGCTCATACTAAATATTATGATGGTAGAGGTAAGGGCCGTTTATAAATAAGTGAGACGGGAAGTTTGGAAGACAATGTTATCCCAGCAGGTTTTAGCAAGTTTAAACTTGATTTTTTCCGTAACCAACTTCCACAGCTGTGACAGCTTTGAAGTTGGCAAGAAGCGATGGCGACTGCTAATCCTACCTACACGATATAAGCCCGAAAAAGCACTTTTACATATTACGTTATCGCTAGATACTATTTATTAAAGAATAGCGGCCACTATCGATCGAACCAGATAATAATAATAATGAAAAGAAGCCTGTTGTTACTGTACTAATGATATGGGACAACTTATGAGTGTGCCATCGAATGGAAATATCAGACATAAAACATGAAAACCGTCTGATGAACTTAGCTTCGTCTGTTGAATTGTTCTGAACGACTTTTATGCTGGAAAAATAAAAATTATAGTTCTAATATTAATTCAACATAATTATTTCTGTATCACTATACGACACGAGTATTACTCTTCTTTCAAAAGCGGTGTGGTCTATACCGGCTGATATTACCAGGCAATTTTAGCGATTTTGATACTTTTTCGCTGCTTGATAATTATGTAGTGTGGGTGCAAACATGATTTTCGTTCACAAAAGATCGAACCCATATTTCTATTCTATTTGTTTTTAATCCTGCGGTTCCCTTGTATCTTGTCGATTTACTTCCAATGATTTCAGTCGTTGTAGGTATGGCCTTAGGTGATCATTGGTATTTTTCTTTAATAAAAACTTTAGGCCTCTCGAAAATGTTCCTTATTATATCTCAAAGAGGTTCTATTGCAAAATGTTATGCAGAGATTCTGAGCGACAGGCAATCATAATGTTACCCGGACCTACCCTGCCGGTTTCTTTTGATTTCCTTCAACTACCTTTCTGGCAGCTCTTGACGTTGCCATCGTGTTTTGTACCTATCTCTGTTAGACCGCTTGCGCTAAAAGTCACCCACGTACTATTACGACGATTCTATTAACGGATCATAAACCAATTACATTTAAAGTTGCCGGTTGTTAATTTTTAAAAAATTTTTAAAGTTAATAATTGACCACCAAATTTAAAAAAAAATTGATTTTTGTGCCATGCGATCTTTAGCCACGGTGGAACAGGTACTACAGAATTCAACATTTCCGCAATAAAATCACATATTGTATACGCCCATGAGATTACAGAACGTGTAATCTTTCCGAACGTGACTACTAACGAATTGTATGTTCTCAGAAATAAACGTTCAGGTCAAGAAAACTAATTTTTCAAAAAATGCTTCAGTTTGGAATCTTTTCCAGGTAGGGGTTGAGCGCCTTCTAGGAGCTCCAATCAATACTCTAACATACTTCCACAGACCGTTTGATGCGTACCTGAACGATCATCAGACTCATCTTGATTTGGATTTATAATACCTAAGATAAATTTATCAAACACCTAAATATTTTTACCTGCGTCATCCGATTTTGCTTAGCTATCCGATCTTTCAGTTAGCATATCTGTCAGAACTATGTTTAGAGCGGCAAACAAGCGTAAGCCGCTTGTCCTAGACGCCTGATTTTTTTAGGCCCCAGTTTTTAGACGCGCAAAAAGCTGGACTATTAATCTCGGCAATATGGCATTTTGAACGAGTTTTGCTTGTGTTGTAAATTTTACATGTGCGAAAGTTGACGTTCAGTGTGTGCAAATTGCGTGATAAGTTCCCGAATGTCGATGGAGAATTTATATAAACCGGCATAAATACTGGAACGCACGCAAACGACTTTAAGTAATCGACGACAGCTCTTTGGGGTCCTGAGCTCATCGTCGGAATAAAGCAGGGATTCAAGGTACAATAATGTTATAGCACTAAGATATTTATCACATAAAAGCACTGTCTAATACGTTGAAAACATAAGATTTTAGAGAGCTTTTGACCTTTGTAGACATCAATTTGATTATTTACCTGATGGACCGTGTTTAGGCAGGCTTATAATGGATGCTTAGCTAAGCTCAATATAACGAATATGACCAGTCTAAATACGATCTATTCAACGTTTGGAACTAAAATATATATTCACTGGGGGGAAATAATTTTTTAGGAAATTTTTTCAATGAGGGATGAAAACTTGAGAGACAGCTCAATATAAAAAAAAGAAAAAACAGCTTCGAATTCTGAGCCTAAGGTAACGTTTCTCACCAGGAAGTCGATTACGTCGTTTTCGACAAGAAACGGTTTCATACGTGAAAACTATCACTGGGTTTACATTGCTTATTAGCTATATTTTTTGAAGTGGCATAACATATATTTGCACCAATTTTTAAAAATAAAAATTAATTCTATCTTGGATTGGCAAATATGTCAGGAACTCTAACTACAAACCTAGTAGGTTATTCATTGCTTGCGTAGTTACTTCGTAGGTTTATTGGAGAAGACTAAGAATAACTTTCAACATAGCCCATCACGGCTACCCCTTTTAATGAAGCTAATCCTTGCTGGTGATTCCGAAAATTTACTTTCATGGAGAGGATAGCTGCAAAAGGTTAGCTCGAATGTCCCCAACTGAAGGGGGCAACTATTGACAAATACTAGAAATTTTACAGTCACGCTATGAATCAAGATTCTATAATGAAACTCGACAGCGGAACGAATAATCGATTCATTTCTCTTGGCTTGCAGTAAGCTTTTTAGAAAGTGTTTAATCAGCCTTGCTGAAACATATACGGCGACCAACCGGTAGCTTAGCGCGGTCCCAATTGCAGATCTTGGTTATAAAGTAGCAAATACGCTTATTTTAGGTACTTGCTAGCGTCCTGATTCATTATTGGTGCTCGACGGCTGATCGGAAAAATGAGGAAAAACCCAAAGCTCGAACGAACGTGTTGATCGAGACAAATATTTGGGTCATACGTAGTTTGTACACGTCTTTTATTTTTATGATGCCCTCAACGCGTAAAGACGTTGCGGGTTCTCTCCGATATCGCGATTTTACATTAAAATAACGCAACCGGTACATCTATACGTGGCTGAACTTATTCTTGTGATCCGCTTTCAAATTCTGTGCCGTATATCACCTTAGCGACTCGCTATACGGAGGAGTTGTAAAATATTCCTATCATTCGGTAAGTCCCTTGTCTTTATTTTGGAGAAAGTCGACTTGCAGTTTAAGCAGCATCTCTGTGAACAATAGACCTACTTGTCTTCACTAGGCTTTCTAAATTTTTTGCTGACCGTGGATCGCTATATCTCAACCTTCCTAATCCTAATGGTGATAATAAAATGGACAAAGGTAGACCGTGCAGAAAATTGGAGCAACTATAGTACCTTACTTAGAAGAAGAAGACTACTTAAATACTAACTTACACTAAAAACAAGTTAAACTAAGCTAAACTGGTATCTTTGCTCCGATGAATGTGAATCCAGCGTGGTTTTTTCTACCACGATCGTTCGAATCAAGAAAGGCAAAGAAAAAGTAATGCTAGAACAGTTAATTGATCATGTTTCTCATCAAACAGAAGTTGCCTGTTATGTGTCCTACAATTATTAGGTTACTGAGTGAGAAGCCTGGGGCTTATTTGTGCATAAAATTATCAATAGCTTTCGCTTATTGCTTGATCATCGTAGCCCTGTATCGAACAATTAACTCTTTTATGACTTACTTTTCATTAATTATGCCGCTATGCGTAAACTTGTTCGTTTAAGCCTATTGTCCTACTGCTGTTTTATTGATTTTGTCTCTCTTACTACAGACGCCAGCACCTCCCGTCTCGATGATGCCCTTAGCGGTGACGTGCATTCTCGTCTCGTTTTCGGCTGTCTCATTGGCGTTCCTCGTGGCTGCAGCAGCAATCTTCATACATTTCAGGTAAGCATATTCCTAATACGCTAGTATTGATTCAGGTCTAATATACTTTTAGAAATGACCTGAAGGTAGCATTGTGGCCCATCGTAAAAGCAGACGAAGTTCTAACAAAAAGGCATTTAAAATGCAGAAGCTTCATTTAAACCAGTTAGATAGATATGTGTATGTAAGCGTGGACGCGTAGGCTTTTCTTTGTGACCTAAGACGAAAATAAAAATGGTAAGCGGTATAAAATGGTAAAAATGAACATTATATTCCAGCCATGCTGTGTCAGCTTCAATGAAATATTATAGGATTGAACTCCCCTTTTCGTTCCAACGTGACAAACACTCTCTTACGGAACGTCTAATCTCTTTATCAAGCAGCCCAGGCCAGTGATAAACGAATAGAGTTCCCTTCAACTAACTAATGGCATTCTTCGTTGAAGCTACACAATAATTACTCTTCTTAAGCAAAGTTGGGCATACATATATATATATATACATTATCGCAAGCACCTTATCGCAGGAAATCTTAACTTCGACTACGTACTGGTCAACAGCCACCCAGTGCGTATAACTGATGCTCAGGTAAACTTGGAAGTTTTAGATGCCACGTTTTAACATACTCCCGACTTTCGTAATTGGAATACGTGTAAGAAATCGCTAAGGCCATGTTCCCTGTTCTCACTTCCACTTGTCAGTTTGAATCTGCTCGCGTTCAGCATTCCGGAGACGCATCATCACGCGCGAGCTAGTAACCTGAAAATCGGCAGTGATGTGACGAAACTAGCGCTTTGGCACGTATTCTTGGAATCCAATGGAAGTACCCTTCTATCTCGAAGGTAGTTAGAAAGTCTCTAAGACTTCTGCACAAAGGCGCAGAGGTGCCCTTTATGTTGTTCAGCACGGACATAGACTTTTGATGAGTCGGAGACGGTCTTCTGGACAAATCTCAGTATCAACTAGAACATGTATCGCGCACACGCATCTGGAGCAAGCTATAACAGTTTCAAATCAAGGCCTCATCGACTACAGGAGAGCTACAAAGGCCTTAAAAAGTGGTGATGCAGCCAGCTCCGAATGAACATAACGTATTTTAACTGCAAAATTAGTGTTATTAACGCTCAGTGCGTGCACATATATATATATATATAATGTATATATGCGTATACACAACGTACGTCACTTAAAGCTTGACGGGTTGTGTGTCGCAATGGGCATGCGCTTACCCGCAATACCAAACAGAAGTCGATCTTTTCTACAATAAACCCACCACGATGAATAACAGTGCGTCGTTTCGGAATTTGAGCTATTATCTTGTTTCTACGCGCTGGACAAGCTCTTATCGACATCAAGAGCTCCTTGAGTCACTGCAGATTGCCAATAGATCGTGTTGCAAGGGATTACGCAGTTGGAGAAAAACCAGAGGAGATTTCAGCACGACACAACGACAAATCTATAACAGAGAAAGAACAGTGTGGAAGTTAATCGTTGCCGCCCAAACTATATTTCAAGAAACTGATGTAAATGGGTGTGTAGCGGTATGATTTGTTCACAAAAACTTACGCACACATCAAGTCATAAGGGTCAGACATATACCTTTTGAGAACAATGAAATTAAAATTCTTTTACTTTAAATTAAGGCACCGTATTGTTTGCTATTTAGTCGTTTCCAGAACGAAGCGCCAGACCGCACTGGATTTTTCTCCAACGAGAAATCATCTATCCTTAATGCAGATCGCTTACTCACGATTTCAAGGATGTGCCTATTGTGAGTAAAAGCAAATTTCTTATGGCTTGATACTCTGAATGATGTATTCAGTGAAGGAGGCGTCATGCCACGATTGTTCTTCTTAACGAACAAACACGTTATCGAAGCCATTATTTATTATTCTGCTTGTACAAACAGGTGTGACTCCTTGGCTAGTCAAAATGTCGGACGCAAGATCATACATATTTCAGCAAGATCTTCATAGGCTTATACGAGCCGGTTAATACAGAGTTTGCTGCTTGACAATATGAGCATGATCTGAAATGAGCACATCTGGTCGCCGAACGGCTTAGACTATAGCTCGTTGCTAGGACTATGTCTGAAGATTGCCCGAACGAAGCCCGACGTGACAATGTCAACTACTTGAATAGCTATTCTACGTTATACCATTCTATCGAATACCTATAATTGTCAGGAATAATATCTATGACGCATGAAAAAATCGTTGTTTCCACTACACAGCCTTAGAAAAAGTGAACCTTTAGCTGGCATATCCTATACTTGTACGCCTATATGGAACTCTTTAACTTCGCTTCCTGATGGCAATTATGTTGGTGCATTTTACATACGTCAAGTTATCGCGTATAAAAACTTACCAACGCACCTAAGTCACGTATTGAGAGCTTTTCTGACCTTTAAACTACCAATAGCTAAACATCTGAGAGTGTGAAGAGGTTCCTCCGGCCTAATGTGACGACATATATGTTACGTAGGAAAATATTATTACCGATAAATGGTATTGCATTGTGTAATGTTACTGGCTTGCATATACTTATTCTGCAAATGTGTTTTATAAAATAAGAATAATAGTCGATCTGGCGTAGCGTCAGACCTACATGAATTATAAAGTTTTTTTTATTAGCCCCTTTTACAATGATGTATTTCGCTCAATGTAGTACCGAAAATGGCGCATGTCATATCGTAAACCGTGAATGAACAAAAGTAATAAAATGTATTTTAGGTTA